TTGAAATAGAAAAAAGTCAGATATTTCAAATAAAACCCCTCTAATGTCATTTCACCTTTTAAAAAAATCTCTGATAGATCAATGCTCATCTCTAAAATAAACAGCTACTCAGGTCAGATTTCAGTTCTAAGATAAAGACGTGCTCTAATGGGCAGCCTTTACTACTGACTTGCAAATGTAACACTTTGGAGGGTAAGAGTTCACAGAAACAGACACAGAGAATTATCCAGCTGTAGTGTGGTAGTGAGGGGAGCCTCACTCTCAGCAGATTCACACTCACCTGGTTTTATACTGACGGGATGTTTACAGTGTGAACTACAGTCCAGACTGATGAGAAAAGTTTTTTATCTTTCCAGTGTTCAGAGATGTTGTCCAGAGTAGAGAGACAGAAGCACCATTCAACTACAGGAAACACAAAGTGAAAGAAAAATTTTCAACTGGAGCCGTGGAATTTATTGTTTGCCTGTTATCCGTGCAAATACAGTGAAAATACAGCACAAACTGTGATATTTTACACCTACAGATGCACATTAATAATTCATCAGTCGTGTGAATATCTGTACTGTCTGACTGCGACAGGACAGCACCTAATCCTACAGTACACTGTGCTGTTAACTGGTATGAAAATCACAGGATACTTACAGGCTGGATACTCTGAAAATTGTGGTCTGAGCTCCAGTTTCTATTGTTCAGGAAGAAATATACAATTGTCTGAGGCCTCTTTATAATTAGATTTGAAAAGTGACCTTCACTTCGGAGACTCTCTTTATCGCAGTAATGGATTATTTTTGCTTTCAATTTTCACTTTCTGCTGTAACGTAGAGAGGCAGGAGGATTCTGGGAAACTGGGCAGTGGCTTCAGGCTGTGTTGTTGTGATCATGCAGCTCGAGCACAGATCAGTGTTCAAGAGTGCAGGAGCTCTGGGACTTTTCTGTTAAACAGGTATATCAAGCTGGAGCCCAGCTCCTCTTGTCTATTGAGTGTGTTCACAAGTACAGGCACTACGCAAGGCTGAGCTGTGTGATCACAGGTTCAAGTCTGGATCATTTCCCCTGTGGTGGCACACAGGCTGAGCCCTGTCCAGTGTAGAGTCAGTGGGCTCTCAGCCAGACTCGCAGGTGTTTTCAGTCTCACCTCTCCTGTCTCTGGGGCTGTGCTGACTGTGACACCAGTGGCTCCAGTGTGGGAGTGTTGGAGGAGTCTGCCTACTCTTCCTCATTACCCTTGTCAGCAGGTACACAGATCATGAAGCCAAGAAACCAGCCATCTATTTCCCACCAGCTACAGTATTTATTTATATAAATTAGATTGAATATATTGAAAATATGTGGACATTCAGTGTCTTTCAATATAATGCAAATACATTATATATTTAAATCAACTCATAATTCCTTAAATTATACTTGAATTATAATGAAAAATATATTTCCAATAATATATTATAACAAGCATATTTCCTATTATTCCAAAAATATACCAGTTTATTACATATTCAGTGTACTGTGTTGTCTCCCAGGTGTGTTTCATTCACTTCCATGTCTTTCTAAATGTGTTTTTCCAGACCAGGAGAAAGAGTCTATTAATAAAGCTGAGCAAGACTGAGTCCCCATTGCGACTGAAAGGAAGACTAGACAGTCAAAGTTTTCACGCATGATTCTGGCTCAGAAGATTAACAATGAGCTATTTTCCAGAGCTGAAAAGGTACAAGGTAAAAATATTTTTTAGAAATACAGCACATAAGATGGAGCTCAGTAGCAGTGATTCACCCATAACTGAGCTCTTTTTAATTTTACTTATTTTATTGACACATCCAATGTAATTATAGTAACCAGAAAAAGAAAGAAACTTGATGAAGAACTTAAAAGAGAGAAAAAAACACAAGGAATTTCAATCAAAAGAGAGTCTGAAGCAAATCAGAGGACAGGAGAGTATGTGGGAAGGAGAATCAATTAGTGGCCTCCTTCATTTCTCACAGAGTGAACTGTAATAAGTACATCGGTTCTTTTTTCTGAAACCCTCTTATAATGTCAAAAGTTCTTGATAGAACATGTTGTTGTTATTTAATTAAATAACCATCTCATTGCAAATAACCTATTTGAACCATAATGGCTTCAGACACTTAGACAGCACAGAAACTGCCCTGGTCAAAGTCACTAGCGATCTTCTAACAGCTTCTGATTCTGGTTCTCTTTCTGTCCTCATCCTTCTTGATCTCAGGGCTGCTTTCGACACTGTCAGCCATGATATCTTACTTGATTGTCTAGAGACGGTGTTTGGAGTTCCTGACACTGTTCTTGTTGATAATGTTGAACTGCGGACCTTCACTCTCAGCTTCAGTGTTACTCTTGGTCTACTGTTCATACTCAGGTGTGGTACTGTACATGTCAGACTCTTAAATCATCTGTCCTCTCTCAGCTGAGGCCAGCCCAGAACCAGCAGCCTGGTATGTTCTCCCAGGAGGTAAATATCCAACCTGCTCTTATAGGACCTCCCACAGCTGTGTCTCATCAGAGCACAGAGGTAAATATCCAGCCTGCTCTTATAGGACCTCCCACAGCTGTGTCTCCTCAGAGCGCAGAGGTAAATATCCAACCTGCTCTTATAGGACCTCCCACAGCTGTGTCTCATCAGAGTGTAGACTGCTCTCAGCTGTGACTCACTTCACACTGACAGATTGTAATTACCATTCAGTCCACACAAAGTCTCAGGATGTACTTTATTTATTTGGTTGTTCCTGTGAGGTGTCTTTAATTCTGTTCTGTTGTAATCTTTCAGTCATTATTGTCCTCCTAGAATAAGGATCTTGGTGCTGTCAAAGTGTTACAATGAGGAAGGTGCAGGAACTGTCTGAGGAAGTCTGCTCACTGTACAATCTCAGCTCCACCCCTTCTGCAACATGTGGTTATTATGGTCTTGGAGACCTGGAACTGAGAGCAGCACTGAGCCCTGAGAGGAGAGGACTGAACACGTCAGCAGCTGACAGGCAGAAGTCACGTGTGACTTGCTGCTCTCTGCTCACTGACTGGACATTCACAGTAGAACTACTCTGATGATGTTGTTCAGTTTGTCACTCAGTGTGAACAGAACTACTAGAAGCAGAATGTTTCTGAGAACAAACACAAGGCAATCGCTTTCAGGAAGATCCCTCAGACCCCACTCAAACCTGCATCAGGGGAGAATCAGTGGAAGGGCTGAACTGCAAGTTTAAGTTTGAGGCACACATCAATTCTATTTTCAAAAAAGGGCAACAGCAACTACTGTATTTTTCTTAAGGAAGCTTAAACAATTTAAGGTTGACAATTTGTTGACGATGTTTTACCAGTCTTTTCTTTGTCCTGATCTTTTGTTTGTCCTGTTTCTTTTGTCCTGGTTTGTGAAATTGAAACTGAGGAGTAAGTTGAAGTGAAGAGTACTGTCAAGCTGTGTCAGAAAGCTGTGTCAGAACATCTATCAGTTATGAGTCCTGCTTAAAGCAAATTCCATCCTAGAGGACCCTCACACCCTTTTTAATGAATCCCAAATACTCCCCTCACAGAGCAGATACACATTTCCCACTCTGAAGATAAACAGGTTTACAGCTCTCATTTATTACAACACTGTGTATATATGTATTGTGTACAGCATTTGTGTGTTTTGTCTTTATATTCTCTGCTACTATAAAACAAACTGCCTCTTGGGGATAATAAAGACTTTCTCTGTGTCTTGGAAATGCAGTTTAGATGTTGGATCTTGAACATCAGAGAAACCTTGAGAAAGAGACAAAAGATTGTGTTCTTGATTTATAGCAGTGTTCTAGGTTCTGGTAAAGATGGAAAACTTGTGGTTTTGTAGATGATATGATAAGAACATAACACTGGAGAAAAAGCAAATAAAATTCAGAAAGAGAACATGACACATGACATTTAAATCCTTAAGTGCAGGCAGTAAAAATACGAGCTGTAGTTTCAGTACGGGATGTGCTGAGAGTATATCTGTCAGACACCAGTCCTGTATCACTTCATTCTCAGAGAAAGAGAAGAACACACCACGTCTCTGTGTGGTGTCTGCTGTAGACATGCGTTCCTGCATGTCCTCACACTGCCTGAAGGACTGTCCTCTCACAGAAACACGCGTGTGCCTTGACAGCTCAGGCCTCTGACCGGTGCAGACTGGGTGTGTGGTCACTCTTACATCCTGATCTGGAACCTGTGAGTGTGTGTTCACATGCTGCAGAGTGATGGGAGAGAATCAGGTGAACTGATGGAGGGTTAATGAACTGAGAGAGGTGACAGACAAGGAGCAGGGCAAAGAAGAGCTGGGAGACAAAGCTGATATGAGCTCTGTTATATATTCATATATTTGGCTAGAAACTTCAGGGTGCTAGATTAGCTGATAAGAGATCATTTGACTTGTATTAATTCATAGTATTCTTATTTATAAATATGTTTTGCATTGTTGTTAAATTTATATGTGCCAAATTACGAGATTGTTACAATCATGGATGATGAAAATGGAGAATAACAGAAATGATTGAGCATGTTAGTCAAGAAGTAAATTAATAATCTTAACCCTTTACAATCTTAATTGAGCTTTGTCAAGAATATATCTGAGCGGTTGTATAGTTAGAGGCCCATGAGCTCTTTGTCCTCTGGCACTTTGGTAAGTAGTAATTCAGGTTAAACTTGGTTAAACAAATATTTATTAACAATGGCAATACACAGACTAAACACACAAAATGTTAACATACAACACACAAGTTACACAATGTACAAATTTCTAAGCGAGGTGTTTCAGAGGCCCATATCCTCAACAGACGAAAAACAGACGGCTACCATGTATTTAAAAATCTCTCTGCAGACCCAGCTGCTGCAAAACGAATGGGAACAAATCTCCCTCTTCTACACTAACACTAACACTAGCCAGGAGAGGCCTCTTTTAACCAAAGGATTTAAACAGGAAATCAGAGCTCCATAAAAACCTCAGGATAGCAAGCTCTCTTAATAGGATTCAAAAACTGAACTCCGACCTGTTCTTTCCTGGTGATCTTCTGCCTTGCTGTGCTCCTGCCCCTCTTGTCTTCCTCTCTTCTGTTGTCTGTACCTGCTTGTTTTTATACCCTGTTCCTGAACTCTTGATAGACACTAAATAATTTACCCAGAACTTAATTAACCAAGGTAAACTTTATTATTGCTTTAATCACCCCTGAATCTTAGCAAACATCTCTTTGCTTTGAAGCTACTGTGAACTGGAAATGTTGGCAATAATAATACTACTACTAATAATAATAATTGCATACACTTATATAGCGCTTTTCTAGACATGCCACTCAAGTGTAGGATAAGATCCAGAAATTATTAATCAAAAACTAAAGAGAGAAATGTCTTTTTGGAAAGGTCTGGTGTAATTTTTGTCCATTATTCTTGTCAGATTTGTTCAAGCTCCCACAAGTTGATTAGAGAGAATTTATTTTCAAGTCTTTCCACAGATTTCCAATAGGATTCAAGTCAGCACTTTGACTGGGACACTCACGGATATTAATTTCCTTATTCTTCATCCACTCCAGGGTAGTTTGACCTTGTACTTTGGGTGATTGTTCTGCTGAAAGGTGATTTGTGGTTTTAAGTCATTAGCAGACTGGAACATGTTTTACTCCAGTATTTGCCTTTACTTTGCTCTGTCCATTATACCTGCAATCCTAACAAGCTCTACAGTCTCTGCTGAGAAGCAGTGCCACAGCATGATGCTGTCTCCACCCTGCTTGCCTGCAGAGACAGAGCTGACAGGAGATCTGCTGTGCTGGGTCTGTGTCAGACGTACTGTAACACTCAGCATTTACACAAGAAAGTTGCAATCAAGTCTAATATAACACCTTTTGCCATGTTTGTTTCCCAGAATCACTGAGGTGCTTCATTAAATCTCCATGCAGGATTTTAGACATGTCTTTCTTCAGATCCATTCAAGCCCCACTGTGGAGTGTCTGGAATATTGTTGAGCCACAGATAATATCCTCCAATCTCAGCCACTGTCCTCTAACTTCTCCAGTGTCTGTTGTCCTCACGGTGTGCTCCTTGTCTGTGAGCTCAGTGTGGAGGGACAGTCTGATCCAGGTGGTGTCTGGTTCTCTCCTCTATCTGGTTGATCCACTTCACCTCAAAGAGATGCTTAAACTTTGAAACAGTTTTAAATTCCTTTCCTGATCTTTTTTCCTATTTTGACAGCTAAATTATACTATATATATTATATTAAACAGTCCTCAAATCATGGTCACAGTCCTCAAACAGCTCTCTTCACTACCTCTCCCAGCAGATCTTTAAATATGACAGCTGCTTTGCTGTTTAGAGACACCCCTCAGTCTGCTGATGTTCAGCCCCAGGGAGCACTTGGGTTCCCCCTGTGCCATCAGGACTCCTCTCTCTCAGCTGTGGGGGGCAGGTACTGTAAGGATGTGTAGTTTAGGACCCTGTGCAGACGGTATAATCCGGAAGTGACTGGAAAAGGGCTACAAGGAAAACACAGTCAGGAAGAGAAGGGATGGCGAACAGGGGGCGGTGCTGATGGTGATCAGGTGCAAGGGGGGAGCACAGGCAAACACGTCCTTGGGTACAGGCCAAAATCCAAAACCAGGGAATCCAATCAAGACAAGACTGTAACGCTGCTCTGAAGAGGTGATAAGGATCCAATGCAGATGCAGGAGTCGTTGGGAGTTGAGTAAGCGAACAAACCGAAACCTAGGAGCTGAATCGTAGTCAGAAGGTGTAAGGTAGGTTGAAATCCGGAAAAGACACAATCCATATCGTGAGACAGAATCGAGGTCGAATAGAGAGCGGTAGGTACAAATCTGGTATTGACACTGGTAGCAAACAATCCAAGGGGCAAGGCGAGATCCGTAGTCTGAAGGCAAAAAGGTGAAGTAAATAACCAGGAAGGCAAAAGGTAGAGAAATG